AAATTGATCTTTTCCGTGCTATGAAAATATAATGAAATGTGTAGTGTGTTCAGTGAATTTGAGTAGGCCTAAGTAATGATCATAAATAATTACAATACTCTCGTGATAAACGCAAGTAGTGTTGTCTAGCGCCAAACGTCACATAAGATAACATGGCAGACATGTGGCAACAGCTCATTAATTCGCGTATTATTCCTTTAAATTTAAATTTATGAACATAAATGTATTAAAAGATTGAAAATAAAACAAATAGAATCGAAAACCAAAACAATATTGATGATTTAATTTATACAATATTGACCTAAACAATTTGCCATTTAAATTAAATAATAACCAGTAGTTTTGCAACTTTAAGATTGAAATTTTGAATGTCAAAAATAATGAAAAAGAAATGTAAATAAGGGAGAAGAAGGTGAATCATATAAGTGAAAATGTTATTTGGGAATTCGGTAAGATTTCCACATAAGTTTTAAGTTATAAGTCTACACCTGTTATTTGATTAGGCCTATATTATATTATTATTATATTATATTACTGTTATATACTGTTATATTACTGTTATATTACTGTTATTTGAAGTTATTAGATAAATTTTGATTAATAAGGTAAAATGATTTACAACACTTCGACATAAATGTTACAGAACAGAAATTTTATATTGTTCAACAGTAATCCAAATCAATGTTGTTTTTTTGCCACTTATAGGAAATATTGACATTTAAAGTGATTGTAATAGTTTGACTCGACATTCTCATACAAACTACTGTATCAACTGGAGTGAGCTGTAACAGTGGCGTCAGACGCTCCAACTTTACACGCAAGTCACGATATTAACCAGGAGAACATTTGATTTGATTTATTTGTTACAAGTCAACCCAACCATTATAGGCCAGAACCATGAATTTTCACACAACAACAAATGAATATTCCTTCAGTTATCTAATATCCAAGGTTAGATTAGGGCGTGGCGCGAGTCGAGATTAAAATAGAAAAAAAAAACAAAAAGTGACTCCATCAGCTTGAATATCCGCTCCTTTCAGATTGCGACCCCTGGCTGTTCGGTCCGCATCCGCCGTCTAAACAGTTTTTATATCAAATATTTATCTTTTGTTTTAAAGATAAATTGATGCAAATTTCTCCTTTAAAAGTTTTTAAATTGACTTGAAATAAAATCTGTTCAATACGTGCTATGAAAAACAAAAGTTAATTTTACTGCTGCATAAATAAACTAACCCTAATCTTAATATATAAAAGAAAGTTGTGTTAGTTACAGCATTTATAACTAGAAAACTACTTAACCAATTGGCATGAAAATTTACAGGAATATTCCTTAGGTACTAGAATAACATAATAGCCTGTTTCCATTTCAAAAACCCTTAAGGGAAGTGTCCTATGACCCTTTGCAGTTTACATGTTAATCTTAGGGAAGAATGTTTTATTTTGTTTACCATGCCATGTTTGTCATTTATTGATTAAAATTAAATTAAGGAAACAGCTGTTGTAATGATAACCTAATTTTTAAAAACAAATCTATGCATAACAAATGAGAGCTATCAAATAGGTTTCTATTCCATTTGTTTCTTACGAATATTTGTTGTCAAATGTAACTGAAGGCAAGTGAGCGCAGCGAACGAGCTCCAACCTAAAGGTGAGTGAGCGTAGCGAACGAAATTCAACCAGGACGTGATTGAGCCATGTGAACGAGCTCATCTTGAAAATGAACGAGCATTTGACATAAAACCACATTAGGACAGGACGCCGTCTGTCGGGCCAGCTAGTAAGTAATAAATGTTCCGCAATTCAGATAGAGATAACACAGGCTTATAAATATTACAGAACACGCGTAATTCCATAATGATAATAAAACGTAAAAATGAAGTCTAGACCGATCACACTCAGAGGGTAGGAAAGTCCAACAAAGTGTCATTTAATTGAGTGATTCCCCTAATTGTATCACGGCCAGTGGGTATCATCATCAAAGGCCAAATCGTCCCTCTGCATCGTAGCAGACATGAAAGACGATTATCAACCTTTGAAATCCTGACTGAGGTCCTCAAATTGAGTGTGATGACGTATAGAAATTGGCAATTTGGTCATCTCTCTATACGTTTGTTGTACTTGTTTCTATAAGAGTGAAATGTCGATTTTTGGACGAATATTGGGCATTGAGTTACAACAAATTTGCACGTTAAACGCGATTACGTATGATTAATAAAAAAAAAAAAAAAATCACAAGTTGCTTAAAACTGTGTGCAAATGGACTCCACGTGATTATTTAAATTATTCATAATTCATCATATGTGTTTGTTACCTTTTACCTTACCTTTTACCTTAACTTTTACCTTACATTACTAAATTTTAAAAGTATTTGTTACATTTTTAAATACTGTTTTCTTTTAGCGAATTTTCCTATAGGGAAGTAGCTATTACCGTAGGTGGCATGGTAAGACTAGGTAAGCACCCGGGACCATTTCCGTTTTTTAAAGTAGCCGTTTCAGTTCAGTTCTTAGAATTGAATAGTTTCACATAATAGTATTGTTTTTTTTCATAAGAGCGTAGTTTTACTCATGACAAAACGGGTAACGGACCAATGAGGTTCAAGGATTGAGAGAGAAGAAGTAAAATGGTAAATATTCTAACTTTAACTTATTAGCTGTTAAGGCCAATTTAATTGTTGAGTGGTGCAATTAGTGTTTGGTGCAATCACTGTGTTTGTTGCACCACTGTCAGTGGCAATGAGAGGCTATAATCGAAAACATAAGCTCTCTTAGAAGTTATAAAAAATTGCCATTCATGATGTTGAGTAGTGATTTATAGTAATTAAAACCCTGTCATAGGTATAGTAGTGAACTCACTCTCGTAAATAGTGTTAACGACACTCGTAGAAGATTTTAAGCCATTTGACAAGGCTCGTTCGTACCTTACAATTTCTACTCGTGTTGTTAACACTATCTTTACGCAATCGTTACATAGCCTAAACTAGTATAAAATTACTTTTCAAATCCATACTCACAGATGACTCTGAATTGGATGGTTTGGTTACCTTAAAGCAAAGACAAACATTGTTAGGTGTTATAAATATATACAGTAACACAAAATTTATAAATATCGATATTATAAACTTACTATCATGTATAAAGCTCACTTATTTAAAGAGCACAATCTGGTTTGTACGGATATGAGTAATTATATCTACTGATATGATTTGAATAGCCGTGTCAGTTTACTTATAATTAGGAAAAAAGAGGGGTTGATTTAGATACTTTTATTCGAGAATGAATCCGAAAACACCCTTGAAAATAATGTTTAAAGGGATAAAAAAATAAACATTAGTTTAGAATGTGATTTCTCTTATGTACTCTGTAATTATAGTTGTATACAATTTCAGTACCATTTTACGTCTCACAGAAATAAAATGAATAACTATAGCCCCACCCAAAAATGTGGTTGTTGTATTTTGCTCTGTTGAACAATATGACGCCTCTGCGTGGGGTATTTGATGTAGAGCATTTGACAACCTTGTCCATTGACATTTTCCATCCTGCTGCCCCCGATGCCCTAATGCTATTACTGCTTGGGCCTTGGACCTGGATTGCAAGATCCTTGTCTCGCCAGAAGATTGGTTCTTCCCTGATAAATATTAACGAGAGTTAATCATTCTGCCATTTATGTAGGATGAAATCAATTATTTAATAAAGTAAACGAATTTGTGATTTAGAACAAAAGGCTTAAAATGATACTAATTACTAGGTAGGTATATGCGTCAACAAATAATAATTATATTTAATTTATTCTCTATTACCAATCTTCTACTGTAGTAATCCTGAGTATACCAATGCTATTAGGATAAGGATAATAATTGTTTACTGCCTCTACAATGTTAACTACAACGAATCATCAGATACTCAAAACTCCTAAAAAGGTTTCCACGATAGACCACGACCAACTGTGAATAATATTTAGGTTTGAGAGGATGAGAAAATAATTTATATTTAATTCAATTCCTAACTCTATGATTGATTTGATGGCTAATCTTAACTGAAACAACAATATGCAGGGTCAACTAAATGAGCCCTGAGGTTGGTTAGTGACACTCTCATGGGAACTACTTGGTTCTTGGATTTTGGTTTGGGCAAATCACTTTCCAAAAACTAAACTTAGAGAAAGCTCTACTTTGACATAACCAATGTTATGTATCCTACAGTTACCTACTACGATTGTCTCTCACAGTATTCAATCGGTTAATCGGTTGAGGCCCCGTAAACCACCACTGTAAGCCGCTTTCGAATTTGTTGAAATCTACGTTTCATAAATATTTCGTCGTGGATTTCTTATCGAGGCCGTAATATCTTCTTGATAATCAATCCGAATTGAGAAATTAGGCTAGATGAACTTTTTTCGGAAGCAGTAAGCGTATCATATCTGTGTCCGCACTAATATAGGTAGGTAGCTGCACGCTGTAAACATCTGAATTGTGATGACAGAGACTCGGTCTTGTGGTTATGGAGCAGACACTTAAACTGTAGACCTTTCTATATGTTCAGTGCACATATAGAAAAAACCTGTTCCCTGGGAAGAGGTGTGATATGCTCCATACACGAGGATCATAGCAATAGTTTCAATATTACAAAAATACCATAACATATAGAAAAATACAATGTGATATATCAGTACGATTCAAAGGATAAATCATTAGTTGAATGCCTTCGGCTATTTGTATAAGATCTCTATATTTCTATAGCGCCAACATAATGCTGATCTTTATTTAATGGTGATCTTTATGCACATTTTGTCACCTACTTCTATCGTCAAAGAAATTAAAATCTGACAAATTGCTTTTGCCAGGGTAAAAAACCCTCGAGACAAAACAAACAAAACAGATTGTGTGTGTGTGTCCAAGGTCGTCTTTAGATTACATGTATTAGCGTTTGTGTGTGTGTGTGTGTGTGTGTGTGTGTGTGTGTGTGTGTGTGTCCAGGACCGGGAAGTAGGTCCGATGCACCACGCCCGATCTTGTATAAAACAGTTCACATCCAGAGATAAGACATCAGTTCTGTCCACAGCAGATCCGAGCTCTCAACATGGTTTCCTGCAAAGTTCTTGTAAGTAGTTGAGAATAGTAATTCACCTTTACTCAATCTTATCTATATCTTATGGGATTCATTCTTAATCGATAAGGTTAATCAAATTAGCGCATAAATGCCGACCTTTGGTATTTGATGGTTTAGCACTTATAAAAAGATACAGCTTTCGTCACCCACAGTTTGGAATAGTATTATATTAAATGGGTCAGATGAGGATTTATGCAATATCCCTACGATAACAAGTATTTAAGAAAAGTATAGCCTAATACTTGTATACAAGCGACATGCCACATTTTCATTACAATTACATTACAACCAAATAACTCAACATAACAAATATTAAACGTTTATTGCAATTAGTTCATCCTCTAAGCAGACCATTAACGAAGATTTACTTGATAAATACATCCATCCGCTAGCCATCGAACCCTTGAACACTTCCATTCAAAGTACGTTTACTTAATTCATTCCATATCTTTAACAGTGTAGTGACATTTCGATATCTTCATCTGAATCTCCGGTATATGAATGTTCGCAATCAGCTTACGTTAATAGTAATGACCTTTACATTTGTTGTGATAAAATGCCAACGGAAAAGTAACGTTTTATAGATAGTGTGCAACGGCATTAACGCCTCTGTTGGCAAATAAACGGAATGGTAGTAATGAAATGTAATGCTGTAGTTTGCTAAATGACCAAATAAATTAATAGGTAAACTATTTTCGCCAAATAATAATGTTTAAAACTACACATAGTTTTAACGATGAATTACAGTTCATTAAGCTTGAATGTTCAGTTTAAGGTTGGTGGCTTTATGATGTTGCGTACTATATTGACAAATCTACAATTCAGCATTCCATAGTGATTATTTCCATGTTATTTTGCAATAAATTGTGTTCGCAGTTATATGCCCTTAGCGTATTTTCCTTTAAGAAAGATGTTTAAAGGATAGGATTGGGACTGAAAGACTTAGACTAGATCCCTAGTTAGACCTGTGACGATTTTTTTTTTTATTTTTACGTCCCCAGGGGGCAAAATCACTATTCGTTCAGATTGATAATACTACTCGAGATTCACGGACACGACAACTCGTGTAATTTTTGTTTGTTTTTTGGAAAGAATGTGTAGATCTGGATTATCTTGAATGAGTTCACGAACCAGCAAAGTCGTGTCATGGAAACTGGTTGTATTATTTGTTATTATTATTATTATTATTATTATTATTATATATTATCATTTTCAAAACCTCATAAGGTTTTGAAGTTTTTAAAAAACAAGGTTTATTTTTCCTTAAAACATGGAAATGCCAAATTGTTATTAGAGCCAGCGTGTAAAGCTTAAAAACAACTTCGTATGCTAAAGCATCGTTGAACGATAATGGGAACGGCGAATATTACAAACAAACAATTACAATTATCTCACGTTATTCTAATAGAGAAATAGAAATAGATTCTTGTTTGCTTAAATTCTGTTAACAATGCTTAAATACTCGTTTGGAACAATAAAATTATTAATTTGTGGTATGTATTAAGGGACTTTCCTGCTTGAAATAAGTTAAAAAATCAAACAGATGGATATATTTTGATCAATTTTTTCTTTCATCCTATACTATTAACATTTTATCAAAACACCTTTTCCCTTCCCCGTAGCAGCAAACCTAAGTAATAGTTAAAGTTAATGTTATTGAAACGGGTTGACTTGTTTATGAAAATAGTGAGTTTAAAATCCATTTAGACAAATTGAACTTCGCTTAGTCTACAGGTTTGCTGTGGCGAGAGTATTAATGTTAGATAATATACTTTTAGCATAGATGAAGTAATATTATATTATATTACTTCATCTATGCTTTTAGTATTTGGTAGAGACCCTAGAAACTAGTTTAGAGGATGTCAACAGAAAACCGGATGCTTTTATTGTAGAATATACCTATTCGATATACGGAAAGTAAATAAAGATACGTCTTATAACACTTAAAATATATATTTACGCTTATACTGTTACTCACAAGACGGTAAATATGCAAAAGATGGTAAGTGGTGATCGATTTCGGTTGGACACTCCAATCATCATCAGACCCAATAGGCGAATGACCCTTTTGGCGTCATTCGCCTATTGGGTCTGATGATGATTGGAGTGTCCAATCGAAATCGATCACCACTTACCATCTTTTGTATATTTACCGTCTTGTGAGTAACAGTATAAGCGTAAATATATATTTTAAGTGTTATGAGACGTATCTTTATTTACTTTCCCTAAATTTAATAAAACGTACAATGCTGATCAAGAAGCTATTCAATATATAATGGTTGAAGTAATCTACTATATTAATTTCTTAAACCTTACAACAACTTCACAAAAGAGTGAAGGGTACTTTTAGTCATGCATAAGACCGATTGTATTGATGTGTTGTTCAATTAGTAAGTTTACCACGTAAATGCAGTAATTAAACGTTCAGTTTAATGTTAATTTTACTTACATTATTAATATTATATAATAAAAAAATAAGAATCATGGTAATGTGTACGGTTGATCATATTTATAATGATTTTCATTTTCATTGCGGACTGATAATATAATTTTATACCCACAAAGATAACAGTAAAACTATGCCCTTACTCAGTTTGTGATAATATGAGAACGCAACCCCAGGAGGCGTTTTTAAAGTTTCGTTGCAATCAATATATTGATAACTGGTAAATGCCTAAATACTGGTTAGGCACGGAAAACAACAATACAATTAATTTTCAATGCGTACTACCATGAGGCTTTCCTGCTTGAAATAATTTAAAGAATCAAATAGTTAGTATTTAGTTTTAAAAATGAACACCCATTGTTCAGTATGTCTAGCTTGTTACTATAACAAAATAAACATGTTGTTAATAATACTTGTTGGTTCTGATTCAGTTGGCTCTGATGGCCGTCGTAGTTGCAGTGAGTGCTACCGAGCTGCGCCGTGAGAAGAAACAGGTCCTCGCCTACTCCGCCGGTACGTACTCAATACACACACATACTAGACATTGATAAATAGTTGCCTATCACAATGTGTTGTAAGTAGTCAAGACAACTGACTCAGTTAAAACATAGAATGGTAAATACATAGACGAAGAAGAACTATTGAGTTTCATGTGATGCTTAAATGATTTAGTCGTTAAAAACGTGGAAGTACATGCAATGCAATGTAAAGTCTGTTGCGAAACACGAATATTCTCCTTATACGTCCATGCCAAAACAATATACATAATATTCTAATCAGCTCAAAACAATTTGTTAAGGCTTTCTACCAAAGCAACCAGCAGTTAATAGGCTGTACTGGTGTACTATGATAATATATTTTCAGAACCAACTGTATTTTCTAACTGATATTTTGGATTGTAGGATCAAGTTTACAACGTAGCCTATAACCTATACTTGTAACAAAATATAGACCTTTTATTAACCACAAAACACACATCAATACCTTACACAATGTAAGTATAGTGGAAACTTATTTTAATTCCTACTGTAACAGGTTACCCCGTTGCCTCAGCCTACCCCTACGCCGCCGCTGCCTACCCCTACTCTGCCGCTGCCTACCCTTACTCCGCCTACAGCTACTCTGCCGCTGCCTACCCCTACTCTGCCGCCGCTTACCCGTACAGCGCCTACCCTTACTCTGCATACGGCAGATATTACTACTGAGAACATCGTCAACCTGATGTCTATTCTCAAAAACACCCTTAGCAATCTGGTCATCAACTGCTCCACACAACTACTCTGAACATCTCAATGCAATAAATAAATTTTACAGTTCCTAAATATAAAATCTTTTCATTTTATCCTTCTATAGTACACTTACTCTTCATAAGTAAAACTGAAATGATGGTTTTACTAAGTACTCCTATCAAATTGATAGTATTAAAACTGATAAATTATGAGACATGGAACTATAATGTGCAAACTTTGAATGAGCTACTGTATTTTCAATATAAGTCCTTAACTAATAGTGCAAATGCGGTAATTTTAACTCTAAGATGAACAGTTTGTTCCCTTGATATTGGTTTTACTATTTTATACAAATTCGTTTTATAGTGTATTAAAGGTATTTTTCACTAGGAAAATACTTTTGTTTTTTGTACGTACAGTCTACTGTAAAGAGATGGTTAGGAACACGGAGCAAGTAAAGGATTTATCACCTAAACATTTTAAATCTATAATCCATATTAAATTGTCAATTATCAGAGTAAAAAAAAAAAATAGTAGTCAATTTCAGTACAACATTTTCATCACTATTTATTTACTCATTTTACATTATTAAAAACATGTGACATTTAATCTTCACAAATAAGTTATAGCACAAATATAAAGATTAATCAATGGTCATACATATATATGAAATTAGTCATTAACATCTTTCCCCTCCTCAGGTAGAATGGCAATTTTTGTCATCGGACGCCGAAAAGTACTTTTTGGTGTTGTGATGTCAACAACTCTTACTTGTACGTCTCGACTGGGGTATAGGGCAGATAAATTATCAAAGTCAAATAAAAGAATAGTCAATTTCAGTACAACATTTCCATAACTATTTATTTACTCATTTTACATTATTAAAACATGTGACATTTAATCTTCACAAATAAGTTATAGCACAAATATAAAGATTAATCAATGGTCATACATATATATGAAATTAGTCATTAACAATCCATGTGTCAGGAAATGTGTATGGCAATCAAATTAACGGTAGAATTTCCAACCAAATAGTCTTATACTGTATCAAAAGGAAATGTACACTAAGAATCTCCATTTTTATAGATAACGCATACCTAATGGGTGCTTGGTTTACTGCTAAAAGAAACTCACAATCGCGTCTCTTAAAAAAATTGGAACGGCATGAAGAGTTTGCCAAAATTTTGAAAGGAAGCAAGATTTTAACAACATTTGGATGGATAAACAAGCCACCTACAATAACTCCCCGAGTAAATAAGAGACAACCTATCAGGATCAGCACATTTAATATCTGGGTATCCAATAGGCATAGAATATATAACTGTTTTTCTTTGGACGCTGGATTGTGAAATAAACATTTTAAATTATAATCATGGAGAAAAAAATCTTCAACCCAGGAAGAAAAATTATTTACTTAATAAGCCATAAATTTTATGTCAAAGAGAAACGATTAAAAATGTTCACGTAGCAACGAACAATAGAACCCACATGACAACATAAACATAAATTGGCATAACAAAGGAAACATAAACGGACAAGGGTAAAGATTTAATAACCATAGGTTATATATTCTGTTGGCTGATGTAATATATAATACCTTAAAAATAAGAAACCGATGCAAAAATTTGTCAGGTTTTACTTTAATTAATTACAGAGGAAAACATACAACAACGCAAAAGCACAGTTACAAATGCAAACGTTTTGTGCTCTTTGAACCGAAATTTCACCAGCAATGGGGGTTGTATTGTTTAGCGTTAAAAGGACTATAATCTACAAAATTTAACCAAAATCAGTCGAGCTATAATTTGAAAACACAATTTTACCGTTACTTAAGGGTTTTATGGGGAAAAATGTAATAATAAATGTTGCACCATAACTTTTACAGCAATGGAGCTTTAACAGTTTTTTTTGAGTTGTAAGGACTATATAACACATTACACTTTAATCAAAATCGTTCACGCTGTTTTTGTTTCAGTCGGATTTCCCCTATACTTTAAGGGTTTGTATAGGGAAATCACCATTAAAAATAAAAATGTCCAGGGATTAGTATCCACATAACTAATTAGTCTACATATTTTCTGTGACGGATATATTTTCAAACTACTATCTTTTCAAAAATGAGCAAAGATCAGGTGCACTCAGACATTACATTGAGTCAAGTTACCGGTTTAATTATGATAAGTTACTCAAAATAAATTAAATGGTATAGTTTGAATAACTAGCTTGGATATAAAATGTAAACAAAAAAGTCTAAAGCTTTTAAAGCTAATCGGTTAGAAATTATATGTACAAAGTGTTTGCTTCTTACCCTTTTGGCTAAACATCTTGCAATGCACGATGGACTTAATATATTTATGGATTCATATATCTTCACCCTAGTAGTTTTACGTTTATTTCTCATATGCCCATACGAGTTAGGCCTACATAAATGTATGAAAACACACACACACACACACACGTAAAGGTTAGTCTGCCAGTGCGTGTGCGTATATTCAAGCCAATGACCTTGTCTCGGATCCTGTTTTTGGTTTCGAGATCATTGATCATTGATTAGTGAGTTTCAAACTGCTCCATTGTTTGGGTTCAAAGTCGTTTGAATGCCAAATCCGCATTCTTTTTCAACTGATGCGGCAAACTAAATCCTTGATCAAGAAAACAATAATTTATAATGTCAAACAGGTTTGATATATATCATTTCATCATTGGTTCCTTCTTTTTATTTTGTTAAGTTTTTCGCTGGCAATCAATTATGGTTAACCTCTTGTAAACTGCAATTATTATTTATTACCCGGGTTAGTAATTATTAAAGCTTTTCAACTTTTGATATATTAAATGAGATTTTATCTTATACTCTTATATGAGCAATGTTTGCTTGTATGTATGCATGTATGTAACAACAAAAACAATAACAAAATTTTATTGTTAACAATTTACTAAAAATTTTAAAAATCAAGTTTAATGCAGAACTGCCAAGACAATCTAATTACGTAAAAAAATGAAATTTAAAGCCATTTTTTTATTTTGGGTTGCAAAAGTTTGTTGAACAAACTGTCTATATCGGCTATTAAACGAGTGAGTTTTGCCATCGACTGTAAAATAAATTAATTTGTTGTAATTTGCTAGGTTAAAATCCCCATCATAATAAATTGCAATTCCACTAAAACAAAAAAAAATAAAAAGCAATGTTAGTTGTAAATAAAATGTAAATATCCTTTATATTGCTTTCACAATGGAACTAAAATACACCGAGCCATGGCTCGGTCCCCAGGTTCTTTCACATAAGATATTTAGTTATATCAAACAACATTATTTGGTACTTTCCTGTTAAAGGGAACATTCATTACTATCGATGATTTTCTTCTCGATATATCGATATTAACAAATTGAAACATGTCAGCTACGATAAATAAATATTGTTCAGAATCGACAATCAACAATTAAAAAAATATTGAAATAAAACTGTTCTAAACTAACCTAACAAAACTAACCAAACTTGCTAAACTTGCTGTAACATTTAAAAACTCCATTTAATATTCTCCACTTGCCTTTTCTGTTATCAAACGGAATTTTTAAATGGTACAGCAAGTATGGTTGGTTATGTTAGGTTAGCTTTCAACAGATTCATTTCTTTCCATGTAATAGACTATATTTTAGCCTAAATATCAGCTGTCAATTTGTAATGTAAGTCATCGTAAAGGAAAAAAATCGATATATCGACAAAAATCATCGATAATAATGAATGTTACCTTTAACAGGAAAGTGCCCATTATTTTCTTTACATTAATTTACATTAGTTTACACAACGATCACAACGATGATAAGTTAACGTTTGAAGTAAAGCAAGTTAACAAGGTGGTAAAGTAAATATTTTCGATCCTAAAAATTGAATTAAAGGCTAATTAATTCATCATTCTATAAAGGCTAACTGAAAAAAACTTTCCGTAGATAAAACTTACTTACACTTTATAAAACTGGAGATACCTGCTACAGAAAGAGTTTGAAAAATATTTGGATTAAACGATCTGGACATGTCAGACATGGTAATGCAATATTCAGGTGACGTTTGGCAAGCTTAGCCAGTCAGCTGTTGTTAGCTCAATCAGCTGATCAACATCTCACATCACCAGAGTGACAAACGGCCTTGACTTTGAACTGGATCCTGGCTTAGTTTTTGTTCAGTATTTTTTGTTGATCTCAATTTTTTATAATTATTTTGACGATCGTTACCTTACGTACCAAGTTAGTATTATTTCTGAACTTAAAAATAATATAGTTCTGATTGTAAATAAATATGTGTATATGTTTGTTTAAGACCTAATCTCGTGTCCTAAGACAGCTATTTCAAAATAATAAATCTCATTGCAAAGATGTAGATATATTATTATTTTTAGATATATTATTGTTGAAGTCAAATTCTTGTATCCTTAGATAATTATTTTATTTTGGGAAGAGTTGATTGTGTATGCTTTAGTGCATGCTTTGGTTAGATTGCTCGCTGATTAGTATGACAAAATGCATGCCATGTTGAGTGAAAAACGTCCCGTTGGGAAAATACCTTATGATTATCATTTTTTAATATTTGTTAACCATCAACTAAATGTATTATAATTATATTTTTTTCGAGAATAAAGTCGACTGAAATATATTTGGTTTACATCATAACTGCCAATATTCGGGTGACTTATTGATTTTAATTCGTATTCCACATCTTCGTTACTTAGGTCTTTGACTAATAGGTCTTAACCACTTCCATATAAAAAAATATCATGTTCTCGATATCATGTATTGCGTTTTAATCTTCGTATTCAGCATTTTATTACTATAGAACGAAAAAGTTCGATTTTTTTCTGAAAAACATCTTTTTGGCAAGTAAACAAAAATTAGTCATATTGGAACTTTTCAAACACAGGCGTAGAGAATGGTTTTGTAACTACATAAAATAGCATTGTTCAAGGACAGTGTTTAACATTTTTTATGGTCAAAGTTACTTGATGTATTGTTTTTCTCTCTTTCCATCTTAAAAAAGAGTTAAACACGTATATACATTTAACACGTATTTAGAAACAATAACAATCTGCTACTTACTACGCAATCTAT